TCATGACCGCGAACGCTGCTGGTCGATCAAGTAGCTTGACTGACGATAGACCACGTAAAAAAATAAACCCATAGTGGTAACCCCGGTAATACACCACCTGACAAGAATCCACACTTTGCGGTTTGAAGATGCAGTGGGCGCTCCGTCAATTCCGAACACCCTTTCGAAACAAGGGCAAATTGAAGGATCCGTTGTAGAGTGTCGTCGTTGTGCGGCCTTGGTCGTCAAGGCGGTCACCCTCGTACGCCTGCTCTTCGCTCCATGAAGAATCGCACCCCATCCACGTTCAATTGCTGTGGCTAGTGATACACATACCACAGCAAGTTTCTACGAGCATGGGGCGACCTGCTGCGGGCGAAATCAGGGTTAAGCAAATTCCCACGCAATGCGTTTATCGACTCGCGCCGCCCCTTCATTTCAATTGACAAATAAATGTACCCCACGCCCAACGAGGCGTACGTGTCCATCAAGCAATGGAATGATACTGAATGTAGTAATAAAGTGACGTTGAATACAACCCTGTTCAAGTGTTTAGAGCCGTAAGCTACGTCACATTCGCAAATGGTGCGAGGCGGTGCGCTTTAGCCCTAATACTTGGACGACGTGTCGGCCATGCGCTCAAATGTATTCCTGGCGGCCGCGCGCCAGTCCGTGCCCCGCAAAATCCACGAAAAGATGCAGCACGCCGTAAGGAGGCCAAGGGCAATACCAGCCCAGAGACCGAACACGTTGCCCTCAAAGTAAAAGCCAAAGAGAGCCGCCATGGGGATGCCCACAGCGTAGTACGCAGCCGCATTTACGTAGGCACCTACACCACGATGAGATCACAGCACGAGGCGTAAGAGCTGAGGGCATAGCAGCTCAGATAACAACGCACCAATGGACTGGCGACCCATGCCTCGCAAAATTCCTTGGACAACGCAGTTTGTGCCGTCGACGAACTCGAAGAGTGCGAGCAGATATAAGGCGCGCTGCGTTTCTCTACAGGTACAAATGTCGACATAAGGACAAGTTGTCCATATTGCGAAGAACGCAGTACGCAATCGAGTCGGGGTCGTTGATAAAGAGGGCGGGCAGCACATTGTGCGTCAAAACGAAGAAGCTGGCGACGAGCAGCGCGGCCACAAATGCGACGCGTTGGGCCAACCCGCTGATGGCGCGTGCACGCATGGGCTCGTTAGCGCCGAGGGCAAGACCGATACGGACAGTTGTCGCCTCCGAGATGCCAAAGTAGACGCTGTAGACGAGCGACGTAATGTTGACCAAAACCTATTCGTATTTAGCAGCCATACAATAAGAATTGAATAATACCGAGTGGACACTGAGCGAGAGCACAGGGGACGGCAGCCATCCCGCCATGAAAGCAAGGATCTCTAACGCCCACCACTCCATGAGCATCATGAGCATGCCTACACAACACATATCATGAGTTTAGTTCACCATCGAAGTGCTAGAAGTCTGCGTACCTGGAATACCGAGGGTGATGAATTCGGGAACGTGAGCGACTGCGTCGCGCCACTGACTCGCGGCCGACGTGTCGGTGGGCCACCACGACTTGTACACTGGGCGCCACGCCAAGTAGAGGAGTGCCAGGATCGGCATCGAAGCAGTACACCAGACCCGAGCATACGCAGCTCCGAGGAATCCTAATACAGCCGTCGATACGATGCCATTGATGACGCTACATGCACGTACCAATGTCGGTGACGTAGCAGAGGTAATAACCGACAGCGACAAAGATAAAGTTGCTGAGGACCGCAATGTAGACCATGGGCGACACGATCTCCTGGGCCTGGAGCACCTTCTTGAGAAGCTCGTAGACAAAGATGAGTGGCAGCGAGAAGATGGTGATGCAGGAAAAGTCGCCCGCGAGCGTCGCGACCATCGGGTCCTGTCCCAAGGCTTCGAGAAAGTACGTCGTGTGCCAATTCAGCACCAGCATCGGCACGTACGCCAGCCTACAAGGACGTGAGTTGGAGATATTGTCGTATGCAGCTCGTACAGGAGAACAACGAGGCCGCTTTGGAGGTACATGCCGAGAAGGTGCTCCTTGCCGGCACCGACGCACTGTGAGCAGAGTGTGTCCATGGCCGTTGTGAGGCCGACGCCGATCGAGAGGCCGCAGACGTTGAAGAAGACAGTCGACATGGTGGCAGCGTCCACAAACTCTTTGGTGTGCGGCGAGTTCATGTGTCCCACGAGCACGATGGAGAGGAAACCCGGCAAGATCTCGAGCAAGAAGGTCGCAAACTATTGAATCATGGTCAATCAAGGAAGTTGTCGTGTGGTGCACACCATAGGGCCAGCCAAGTGGAGGAGAGCGAGGATCTCAGTGCGCGGATTCATCGGCGTCTCGATGGTGAGAGCTGCCTCGACGTCGCTGTCGCTGTCGGTCGGTGTGCGGGGTGGTAGCAAGGATGTCGCTTCGCTTGTCATGGTCAAAATTGCAAGTGATAGCTTCCAATGTTTCTCTCGTTGTATTTGAGTATAATATATATATATATATATATGAACGTGTTCCGCGTTATCTTCATTATAACACAAAGACTTCGCATACGTAGCGCTACGCCTGAATGCGTGGGAGTTGGCTCCAGCACTTGGTCGTTGGGAGTGAGTATTATATGCGATATAATCTCCCGTATCTGATGAAACATGTGTTGGACCACACACACTTGAAGTTGAGTTAACGTTACTGCGGGTATCGGATTGCGGGCATTGGATTATGGGCATGAATTTTGCGCCGCGGAAGCGGAAATTGAGGTTTGGAATGAAGCATGTGCTGGGGAAATACTGGTTGTTGTCATACAGCGGATCTACGGATTGCGGGCATAGGATTGTGGACATTGGCTTTTGGGCATGCGTAGGTTGATTGCATGATTTATGGAAATCGGAGTTTGGCCGCAAACAAAGTGATGCCGGTAGCAGCGACGTGGTACAGGAGGCAACCATTCGTTGGCAGTCCGTCAGCTACCTTGATTATGGGTGGTCCATGCAAGCGCAGCAGCAAGAAGTCATGAAATGAGTGCAGTGTACGACCGAACGTCGCAGACAATGCAAACACACAACCAACGTCCTAAGTTACCGCCTACGTTCTTGGTCCTGGGTGTCGTCGAGTCGTTCATTACTTTACCACAGCTGCACCTCCCGCTCAATAACGAATCGCACTCTGCCTACTTCGAACAACACAAACCACCACGCGCCACGGCCATTTTCTTGCGCATGTGGGACGATAAGAAAGTTGCCTCCTGAATTCAGGCCGCAATTCGCACCAGAAAGACAAGTTCTCATTCTTCACCAAATTTACGCTGTTTCTTTTCCCTTGAAGGGCTGGACCAAAACTTGTTCGCATCACTTCAATTTCCATATTTAGAACTCATTGACTTGATTGCATCCAATGCCGAGCCGGCGCAGCGCCCCACCCAAACCAACCGTGCTCTCGATGTCGTCCGAGGGCCTCGCTGGCATCACGTTCACCGTCTCGGACAAGCGGCCAAAGTCTGCTCATCATCGCTCGAGTGCACGACAGCCCAAGGCACGAGACACCACGTCGCAAGGCAGCCCACTGCTGCGCAAAGCCGCAACGTCCGTCACGCCCACCATGCTTACGGTACACTTGTAGCGTTGCGTTGCAGCGGCATTTGTCTATTCGCACCTCCTAGGCACTGACGTGGTGTGAATAGAGCACAAGTACGAAGCCGCCGGGCGCCAACCTCCAGAAAGGCTCGTTTCGCAAATCCACAGCGTGGTCCGAAAAGCACGACGCCACATCGACAGCAGTACGCTTTCTTGCGTTGCTTGCTGTCCACAATAGCCCTGTAGAAGCCTCGTGTGCGCACAGACCCGAACCCACGCCACGGATCCGTGTCGCCACCCAAGGACGCCTCACCGTCACCGCCACGCTACGTAGCTGCGGACGGAAAGCAGTCGCCGCCCCGGCGCGACGCCCACCGAACCGTGGCGCTGGTAGTGGACTCCATGCATACGGTCGCTGACATTGAGCGGGTGTCTGGCGCCAAATGGGATGCGTCCCATGGCTTTGTGCATCACAAGCAGGCTGTCACGGGCGCGCCGCCTCTCTCTCCAAGGAATACTAGGGGCAGCGTCGAATCATCCACCGACAGACGCTGTCAAAATCCAGACACGTGGGTGCAGCCGAGTACGCGGAACAACAAGCGCGTGGTCGGCGTCGGGGCGCGGCACCAGCGGTCGATGCAACAGACCAAAGTAAATAGTGCTCGAGACAGCAGTGATAGACCACCACAAGCGCGTTGGCTCTAACCAGTAAGATTTGAATATGATCGGTTGTGGGTATTCGTCGCTTGCACGAGCACCAAATAGCAGTCAAAAAAAGTTTGCGAGTTATCGTAGCAACGACTACAAGGGACAGCAAGTTCGGCGGAAAGGCAACGAATTACTTGTCCATGCGGCTCACAGCGTCGTCCGCCACACCGCGCCAGTTGGTTCGCGCTAGGTACACTGCAAAGAAGACGAACGCTGACGAGACACCGATCGTCATGCCCATCCAAAGCCCCGGTACGTCCAAGTTGACGATAAACCCGAGAAGAGCAGCAAGCGGAAGTCCAATCGCGCAGTACGCGACAGCGTTCACGTGCGCTCCGATGGTCTGACGTCCCATGCCGCGCAAGAGCCCTTGGGCGGCCATCTTCATCGCATCCATGAATTGATATAGGACCAGAATGTACAGAGCCCCTTGCGTCGTCCTAATAGTACCAGCATGAATATTCGAGCAGAGACGAGATCGTAGACCGGATGGAAGACGCATCGTTGATGAACCACGCAGGCAAGACGAGTCGAAAGGCGAGTACAAAAGCACCAAGGACGGTCGCGGTAGCCGCGACAACGATGTACGACGCCGACACAATCAACTTGGCGCGCATTGGCTCGTACGCTCCGAGCGCGTTCCCCAATCGGATCGTCGTCGCAATCGAGATACCGAGAAAGATGCTGAAAGCAACTGACGAAAGCGTCACCAGAACCTAGATACTCATTCTCAGACATATGTGACAACATGTGGTTCTTGGAGACCGAGTGCACGCTGATGGCCAGGACGGGCGACGGCATCCAGCCTGCCATGAGCGTGAGGATCTCAAGCGCCCACCATTCGAGGAGCATCATGACCATGGCTACGACCATAGACGACCATAAGATATGATTCAAAATATTGCTTTGGTCCATACCAGGAACGCCAAATTCGAGGAACTCGCCAACATGGTGCACGGCGTCGTACCACTGCGAGGTCCACGAGGAGCCTTGCGGCCACCATTGGCAGTGCACTTGCGTATAATTCAGATAGAGGACCGCAAGTAGCGGCAAGGACGTATTGCAGACCAAGCGTGCATACGCAATGCCGAGAAATCCTAAACGCATTGGTATCACGAACCCTCCGAGGTAAAAAGTCAAACCTGCGTCCGTGTAGTAGCAGAGGTAGTAGCCGACGCCAGCGTAGAGGAGGTTGCTTGCGATTGCAATGTACGCCATGGGTGCAACAATGTGCTGGGCCTGCAACACCTTCTTGAGGAGCTCGTAGGTAAAGCAAAGTGGGAGACAAAACACAGTCACGCGCGAGAACTCGCCAGCCAGCGACGCCACGATCGGGTCTTGACCAAGGCAAACGAGTAAGAGCCCCACATTGTAGTTAAGTAAGAACATTGGAACGTAGGTCACCCTATTTTGCACAAGTTGTCATATAGTCCATCAATACATGGGGACGTACGCGAGGACGAGGAGGCCGCATTGAAGGTAGCCGCCGAGAAGGTTTGTCTTCCCAGCGCCTACAGCTTGAGAACAGAGTGTGTCCAGCGCCGAGGCAAGACCAAAGCCAATCGAGAGGCCAGAAAGGTTCAAGAACACGGTAGAGAGCGCGGCTGCGTCCACATACTCCTTTGTGAGGGGCGAGTCGAGGTGGCCCACAAGAGCGACCGAGAGAAAGCCCGGGAGGAACTCCATCAAGTATGTCGCAACCTTCACGACTTGTCAGACATTTTGCGTGTAGATAGAAAGACTACCATCGGGTAGGCGAGCTGGATGAGGGATGCAATCTCTGCCCGCAGCGAGTAGGGCTTGATGAGAAAGATATCGCTCACCGAGGCTGCTTCGAGGTGGTCCGGAGGCAAAAGCGTCTTGGTTTCTTCGTGCATTGTCGTGCAATGAAATAATGAAGGTACGACTGTATGCCTTCTTCGCCGTGACCAGCTCAGCAAAGCCCTAAACCCTATTATGGTCGCAGACACATGTTCTGGATGCTCGCTAGAGGCCTCATCATCGCCACGAAGCTTGTGCTCGGAATGTTCCGTTGGCGCTGAGTGGTGCAATTGACCACATGTTGCACACGCACACCTGGCTTGTCAAATACATGTAGCTGGTCAGCATCTAAAAGCCGCTACAGTACATGGGACCGTTTAGTGATTGGTCACCATTTCTTTTGTTCCGAAATGACGCAGCGCGTTGGCGTACTACCATGATCGAGGTTTGTTTGTCGAGATATCGAATGATCTGGCTTGCGCAGAAAGACTGCCGCCGCGGGCTGAGAGTATCCGATACTATCTATAAATGTAGCTGCCAGCCTTGACACACGCATCAACGCGAGCTACGGTCTCGCGATCTTCTTGTGAGCAAGACACACAATAAGCAGGACATGCCTAAGCTGGACAAAGGTCGTCGCGATCTATGAGCTTTGGACTCACCGCCAACGATTCTAATTGGCCAAAAAACAGCGTGAGCGAGCCAAACTGATCAGTGTGGGTGTTGCGTTTCGCACCGACCTCCCACTGCCAAGTCCATGGACGTTTGCCGTCAAGGCGGCTCTTGTCGCTCAAATGCACTTGCACCACAGCCTCGTTCAAAACCCAAGGCAGATGGCTCTCCCACGCCTTCTCCGGCTCCTCGCTCAACACGAATGGCCGCGCCAGCACCGTGTCCCGCGGATCGCGCATCTGCCTCCGCCGGCCTAGATCAAGATCAACACCAGCGCGTACACAACGAAGAAAGTCCGACAAATTATTTAGCGTAGATTGACGTATCTATTTTAATAGCTACCCACTTCAACAACCACTATTTCCGCGCGCCGCTTGCACAAGGTCTCCACGTCATATCGAACTACCTCCTTCTTTTCTTCTCTTTCTTCGATTTAACAGGCACACGTTTGTTATATTCCCCCCATTTAACGGGTAGTCGTCATAGACTTGCCGAGCGCGCTAGTGGCTTTGTTGTGGGGCCATGCGAGGGATCACCTGGAAATATCCGCGCCATGGACTGCAGCGAGCCAGCGATGACTCGACGTTCCGACGCATAGAGTACATACGTGCAAGCGAACTAGCATTAACCACGAGTGAATACGGACAGCGCACTACTGCGTTTCTCGTATCATCCCGTCGCAAAGGAGATCGGTGACTTGGATCATGGCCGAGAAGGCAAAACTGAGACGGCTTTAAGCACTACACAGCACACCAAGTCACCCTACCGCGGTGGAACGTGAGCGGATTAGCGTTGCGTGACAAGTCCGGTCGCTCGGCACTCAGGTGATTGACCACGAGCTCGCGTCTGTCGAGTTTTGGTCGGCAATGATATACTACCACGCCGCCGCTAACAGACCAACGCCTCGCTCAATCGTGCTAGTACGGTGCATGCCCACCAACACGTCGGCCGCGAGTCAGTGGCGCGACGCAGTCGCTCACGTTCCCGGATTCATCACCCTCTGTATTCCAGGTAGCCGACTACTAGCACACTACCTGGACATTGATGGTGAGCTAAACTCACTACAGTATACATGTATGTGTTGTAGGCATGCTCATGATGCTCACGGATTGGTGGGCATTTGAGATTCTTGCCTTCATGGCGTGATGGCTGCAGTCCCCTGTGCTTTCGCTCAGTACTGGATTCCTCTAGTGATTCCTCTAGTTACTTGGACGCCGGTAACAAAATTACCACCGAATGTTGTCATAGGTCCTACTGATGATTCCTGTGCTCGTCTACAGCGTCTACTTTGGCATCTCGGAGGCAACGACCATTCGCATCAACCTTGCTCTCGGTGCCTACGAGCCCATGCGTTTGCGCGCCACGAGCATTTTGGCACAACGCATTGCGTTCGTCGCTGCGATCCTGGTTGCGGGATGTGACACACAACGTGCTCTCCGCTCGCTTCATCAAGGACTTTGAGATATCACGTAATGTCCATTATGGTCAACTTGTCCTCATGACGTGCCTTACATGTGTAGAAAAACGCGGCGCGGGTTGTACTTACTATTGCGTCATTCCGTGAGGCATGTATCGTCAGTGTATTGTTGCGTCGTTTTCAGCATTTGTGTGCCGTCACCTTATTGCTGTCACTATTGCTGTCTAGTCTAAATGCGGCTGCGTATTATGGCGTGGGGATTCCCATGGCGTCTCTCTTTGGCTTTTACTTCGAGGGCAACGTATTTGGACTCTAGGCTGGCATAACCTTTGGCCCGCTTGGAGTTTACTGCACCTTTTCATGCATCTTGTGGGGCCCGGTCCGGTGCGCGGTTGCCCGCGTCCATTTGATCGCATGGTCGGCAAGGAATCCGGCAAATGAACTAACCGTTTCTTCCCGTTTGCTTTCCGAACAATTTGCCAAATGGAATAAATGATCCAAGCACATCAGCATTCAATGCCATCCAAGTGTCATGAACTATCAGGTCAGTTTGCATTCTACACTGGTTGTACTAGAACATGACTTGGTGTTGCGATGCGAGCCTCACGGTATATATTCTCCTCCTCGCTGCAAGGTCGTCGTGTCGTTGCGATCCTGAATGAATCGATGTGCCAAGTAGGTGAGAGAAGCACACTGTACGTGAACGAATCGCTAGAGCAAGCGAACACGTCCACGACGCCAGCCCGGGCTCGTCCGACCATCAATGTAAACGCCATCGAACAAGGAGTATCGTATATATACAACTGAGGACCTTAGCTCGGATGACGCCGATATGAGATAGGTTCAATACAAAATATATCCATGTGACTCGGACCAAACGCGAGCAAGTGATTACGGCCCGTTGCCCGCGCCACGTCATTTTTGTTGGCCCCGTGTGTTGCCAGCCACCAATTCTAATCGAATGCTTCGTCGTTGATCTCTTCATGGCGAGACCTCACACCGACGACGCCTGAAGCGATCATCATTCGAAGGCTCATCATCACCCACGCCCGCGGTGGACTGGCGCCAATGGAACTCGCTTGGATCTGGCGGCCTGCGATACCCAAGCTGCTGCGTGCTGATTGGTGCAATTTTTAAACCACTGTTCCAGCCGAAGATGGCATTTTAACTCAATTGTTTAATTATTCTTACAAAATCACAGTTTCCATGCAATAAATTACCTATTTAAATTCGAAACGCACGAACAACAGACTGGAAAGGACCTGGGCTCACATTTGTCACTCTCCAATTCCACCATGACCGCCGAAGCGCAGAGCTTGCTGCCGAGAGACGCGTCGCCTGCGTACGCCCCGCCACCCGCTGACCTCGAGAAGGCCAGCGCCATTGAGACACCGACGAGCACGCGCGCCGAGATTCTCTCTCTCGTGCAGCTTGCCTATCCGTTGGTACGCGACAGCCCTCGTATCGTGGCGCTCAGTTGCAATAGGTCGCGACGTTTGCGATGGAGTTCCTGCCCGGCTTCCTCTCGGTTGCGCTAGTTGGCCACCTCAACTCGGCGTACACGAAGGAGTTTGTGGATGCGGCGGCGCTTTCGACGGTCTTTCTCAACGTCTCTGGCTTGTCGATCGGCTTTGGCCTCGCGTCGGCCATGGACACGCTCTGCTCGCAGTCGGTCGGTGCTGGCAAGATCTACATGCTTGGCGTGTACCTCCAAAGTGGCATGATTGTCCTCTCGTACGACACATACCTATCAATAGTGCGTCTTGAACCTCGTGCTCTAGGCTTGCGTACATTCCGATGGTGCTCATGAACTACAACACGACGTTCTTCCTCAACCTCCTCGGCCAAGACGCGATGGTAGCGTCGCTCGCCGGCGAGTTTTCGCGCGTGACTGTGTTTTGCCTCCCAAGCCTCTTCCTCTACGAGCTCCTCAAGAAGGTGCTGCAGGCTCAGCACATTGTCGCGCCCATGGCGTACATTGCGGTCGCGAGCAACTTTATCTACATCGCGGTCGGGTACTACCTTTGCTACCACACGAGCCTCGGTACCGTTCTTCTGTCTTGCTCATCTCATGAGAAAAGCGTAGGCTTTATTGGTGCGGCATATGCGCGCTTGGTGAGCAACTCTTGCATGCCGCTCATGGTGCTTCCGTACCTGCTCTGGAACCCGGTGTACACGACGTGGTGGCCTGATGAGCACACCATGTCGTCGCAGTGGGGCGAGGCCTTTGCCCACGTGTATGAGTTTGTCACGTTTGGTGTGCCAGGTACGACCCCCTTTTCGGAACGTAAAGCATTCACATTGCTAATTGGGACTTGTAGGCATGCTCATGATGCTCATGGAGTGGTGGGCGTTCGAGATGCTTGCACTCATGGCCGGCTGGATGCCGAACCCTGTCCTCTCTATCAGTGTGCACTCGGTACGCCTTTTGACAATGATCGGGCAGGCGCTTGATACGACAGCGGTAGGTCTTGATCAACCTCTCGGCTATGGCCTACAGTCTCTTTCTCGGCATCTCGGTCGCCACGACGATCCGAGTTGGTAACGCGCTCGGCGCTTACGAGCCGCAGCGTGCCAAGGCGATCGCCAAGGCTGCGTATTGCGTGTCGTTTGCCGCCGCGATGTTTGTCGCGACCTTCTTCCTTGCGACGCACAACGTCCTCCCCGCCTTTTTCATCAACGACCCGAGCTCCATCGCGTACGCCTCGTCGGACTTGATCTCATTGTCATCTGATCTCGTTGCTAGGCAAACGCAGCGCGCACTCTTCTTCTTCGTCATCTTTGAGGTCCTCGACGCGATGAACTGCGTCGCGCAAGGCATCCTCCGTGGCATGGGCCGCCAAGCCATTGGTGCGTTTTTCGAAAATAGAACCTCGGATCATCATAGATACTAGGGGCGTACGTGAATGCGATGGCGTACTACGCTGTCGGCATCCCTGTCGCCGGCGTCGTCGGCTTTTACTGCGAACTCGATGTCCAAGGTCTCTGGATCGGTATTGCCGTCGGCGTCTTCTCGGCCTTTTGCGTCTACTCGTGGACGCTTCAGCACACCAACTGGCGCGCGATGGCCGACAAGGCCGTGGAGCGCATGACAGACTAAGGCGGCGCAACATAGAATTTTCATCGGCTACGCCATGGCCCCACTGTTGGACTGGTACTATAGCACGTCAGTGTGGTCCAAGTGTACATAAATATCATGATATTTATGTACTCTTGGTGTGGTCACACGATCACAGCAGAAGACCAGCGGCCCAGCCTCTCGATTTAGCCCTACCCGCGATCCAAGGACACCACCATTCCCGTGGTGATGTGGGTGATGGTCCAAATCGCCTGCATATTCTTCCCTCGGCATTTGCTTTACTGGGCACGACTGGTCGGCAATTTTTGCTCAGCAACCTGCGATCCTCCAGGCAAGTCCTATTCCGAGATTGCAAGGCTAGAGTCCCTGGCTGGACACAGGCGTGGCGACTACCGGATCGGAGTCGTGCTATACACTGTTCTAGCGGGTCAGAGTAGCGGGCTTGCGACGGAGGACAGAAAAGAGAAATGATGGCCACGACGTACCAAAGCTCACCTGCTTGGCCAACCTGAAGCCTGCTCTAATGGTCTTTGGATCGAGTTGAGCACAGGTACATCAAACCAGTTGTCTTCTAATAGAGTACAATCCTAGACAACAGAGAGAAAGCAGCTGCGCCGTCTGAACGTCTTGTGCTATCAAGTGACCAAGCTATGCCGCTCGTTGATTGGCTAAAATTCCATCCAAAATAGAAGACGCAATCGCATTTTTCGCCGAGCGATGGGGAACACGATCGCGCAGTTGGCGCAAGACCACAAATGGGCCCAAGTCGCCGAGCGCATCGAGGCCCGCGCCGTCGAGGACGTCAACGTGACGACTGGCCATGTAAGCCGCCCGTACTCGCCTGCTCCAGGCTTACATGCCGTAGCTCGACTGGACAACGCTCTCACTCGCGTCCTGGGAGGGCCAACTCGACATTGTGCACTTGCTCTTGCGCTTCAAGCATATTCGCGTGGACCAGCCAAACCTCGTACACTCTTATAGGCTTGGATGCCGTGACTCTCAATGGCGCCTTGCATAGGATGGCATGACACCACTGCATGAAGCGGCCAAGCACGGCCACCTCGAGGTCGCCCGCGCCCTCATTGACGCCGGTGCCAACCCCCACGCGACCAACAACGTACTGCTGTGTGGGAAATAAGGATAAAAATCTGACAGTGTGCGTGTAGGAGGGCAACAAACCGCTCGCGCTCGCGAACGGCAGCGAAATGAGCGAGTTTTTGACGACGTGCATGCTGCCCGTTGGTGTCTGCGCAGAGCGCCACGAGTGGCACGAGGTCAAGCGCCGCGTGACGCGCCGGCTTCTCTCGGACGTCAACGCCAGCTTTGGCGAGGTACCTTTCGTCCATGAGACCCTCTTTCGACAGTACGGGCATAGCGCGGCTGGTGCTTGCTCTCGTACTGCGCGATCCACGACCAAGTCGAGCTCGTGGACCTCCTTGTGCGCTACAAGGACATTTGCGTTGACCACGCCAATGTGGTGCGTGACCTGCGCCTGCTTTTTGTCTCGGCGGCTCGGCTTATTGGTGGCACTAGGATGGCATGACGGCGCTGCACGAAGCCGCCAAGCACAACCATCTGCAAGTGCTGTCCATTTTGGTGCGTGCAGGCGCCGACCAATCGCTGCTCAACACGGTACGATACACATAGCAATAAGCGACGGACTCAAGCTGCGAGTCTAGAGCGGTGCCACACCTGTCGACTTGGCGACAATGGACGGGCGCGCGCTTCTTGAGCTGGCGCCGCCGGTCGTCATGGCGCCCGCCGAGGTACACCAATGTCCCCACTGCACGTACGAAAATCCTCGGCGCGACGGAGCGTGCGCCATGTGCAAGATGGACATGCAAACATCGGAAGACGCGGTGGCTGCACTCATGGAGCGAATCGCGCTCATGGAGGAAGCGACGCTCTGCACGATTTGCGAGGAGCGGCCAAAGGACACTGTGTTTACGTGCGGCCACGAGACGTGCATGACGTGTGCACAACAAATGACGAGCTGTCCCAACTGCCGCAAACCCATCACGGCGCGCATTCGCCGCTTTGTGTGAGCTAGCGTGGCGCTATTGCACCAAAGGATTTGACGTGTCTGAAGTCTTAACGTATCCGAGTCGTGCGACAGGATGGGGTCGTGACGTCCATGGAGAAGCTACTTCCATTGGTGTATCGGCGCTTTGGGAGTGGTCCTTCGCATCGAGTTTTTTTCAAAAGTTACGACTTTCGAGCATATTTTTCCAAAAGTTACGACCTGTGGCAAAATATTCAAAATAGTTACGACCTCGACCGGATTGGTAGAAATGCAGTCGAAAGCCAACGAATCAAGATGGTGGTCAAGCAAATAGTGTTAAAAGTATCTTATGCATTTGTGGCCGCCGATCTCAAGTGCAACTGCGCGTATCGCGATCAAATGCACATGCCCTGCCGCCATTTGATCCGCGTGCTCGCATCGACCGATCGTCGTCACCGCATCATTGATTGCTTCCACCCGATGTTTCTTTTCGAGAACTACAAGGTCGCAGTCGAGGGTGTCTCGTACAAGCTGCCGCTCTTCAAGGATGCTACCCAGGAGCCCGTCTTGGCGCCGCTGGTCGAGCGCCGCCAGGGCAGACCAAGCTCAAGGCGCATTGCCAGCAAGGGTGAGAGTGGCGGCAAAAAGACGGCGGCCAAGCCACGGTCCAGGGTGACGATCGACTTCGACATCGAAACCGGCCTCGATTTCGACGTCGACGGGGACGGTGACGACACAGGGGTGCAGCCACGGACGTACAAGTGCAGCAAGCGTGGGAAGGAAGGCCACAACGCCGCTACGTGCAAGAAGCGTGCAAACAAGTTGCTTCCAGCTACTTCGAGCGGCAAAAGTTACTTTCGGGACGACGCCGCGCCGACGCCTTTGGCAATGCAAATCGCTAGCATTGTCAACCCGACGACCGGGCTCCAGAGCCCGTCGGATTCCGAGTTCGAGTCCGACCCGTCCAGCAACGATTCCTCGGGCAATGAGTCCGATCACGCTTAGCGACGGCCTCGCGGCGGCCACAAATGCATAAGATACTTTTAACACTATTTGCGTGACCACCATCTTGATTCGTTGGCTTTCGACTGCATTTCTACCAATCCGGTCGAGGTCGTAACTATTTTGAATATTTTGCCACAGGTCGTAACTTTTGGAGAAATATGCTCGAAAGTCGTAACTCTTGAAAAAAACTCCCTTCGCATCGTACCTTCAGCTGTAGCCGACATACAGCCAAGTGCACCTGTTGCCATCTCCAGAAATGTATAACCACGTTGCGATGGGGCTGTGA